CACTACACCTCCTGCCTGACCTTATTTGCTATTCAGTTGACCCATACGGTGCCGTGTTGACCTGATATGAAAGAGAATGGATGGTTACAGAAAGTTACTGTAGTTCTATGAATGAACCCAGCAAGCATTTTTTGTTTTAAAAATGTCTAATAGCCGTCTACATGAAGACCTGACGTCTAGGCTAAATCACGTCTGAATTTGGGCTATCAGTGAAAATTTGGTAGACGTCTAACCATAGCCAAAGTGTAGACGTCATCAATTATATGGCTATGTAGAGACCATGTCCAAAAAATGGAGATAAACATATTTAAATTACTGTTGACTCTCCATACGTGATTGAATATCATACCGCACACCATCTGCAATGGCGAAAATTACATTTAATAAGTTTCAAAATTAAATCGGCTAGATTTGGGTTACATGTAGCTAGACTAAATCGGAGCTAAATATAGCCAATATGTTTAAATCACGACTATTGCTTGCTGGGAAGGTCAACACGCCAGGTTGCATTGTCATTCAGTAGGCTGGTTTGGCCTCAGTCAGAGAAAAGAGACTGGGCAGGTGATCACACAGCTGTATTAGTAAGCTCTGATTGTTCTGATCAGTTCCTCACTACAGCTGTACCATAAACTCACTCCTTTAACTGAGATACAATGTTTTTTGAACATAAAAACACCTCTCAAAGGACATTGACTTTCTCTCTAGTGGAGTTAAAGTGAAATTGGCCGAAATAATAAAAAGTAAAGTACAGATACTGATTTGCAATGTGAAACTGCTTCATTCAATGTTTGTACTGGTTTTAAATCACCAGGGGCCTCATTTATAAAGCTTGCTTACGCACAAAACGGGGCTTGAAAGTGGCGTACGCCACTTACCATGCAAAGGTTGTGATTTATAAAAATAAACTTGGTGGGAGAATGTGTGCACCTGTAAGCAAACTCTGAGTTATGCGTGCGCACATTTTGGAGACACTGGGAAGTGGCTACGCAGATGGCGAGGTGGAGAAGTGGAGTCAGATTTTTATTGATGTCTCACACAAATTTAATGTCACACTATATCCACCTTAGATCCACGTTATCATTGAAATTAAATCCAGCAGCCTTATTTTGCGCTTGGAGTGAGTGATAATTGTTTAATAAAAACGTTGTAAAATCCAACTCAAATCCTGAATTGAAATTCTTTCTAAATACGTATTTAATCCACACTGCCTCTAATGTCTCATTGTCCACTCTGTGAGCGCAGGAGGGGGAGAGGACGGCGCGACTGCAAGGAATATATTTATTTATTTAGCTAAATATTTCCAGTGCATTTATCATGTCTCGAAATACAACCAGTAAGCACAACCGTTACACTCATTTCATCAGCCCTACTCAGACATGTGTGTGTCATGACAAAACCGGCATGAAGAAACGTGTTCACCTATTACACTTTCATCTTTGAATTGTATTTCAAATTACACATTGTATTTTGGGACAGGGATACCACTGGTTCATGCTGTAATTCAGGCCGGGAGTCTGATCAGACTAATTGCCATAAACATATAAATACTGCAGTGACCCTCGTGCGTAATTGCGCAAGATGGCACTGGCACATACTCCTTTTTGCCTTCACCTTTAATAAATGTGATTCTTTGTGTCGCACATCAATGTCAAACATCCTCAAATTTAAAATCAACACATTAACTACATGTTGGTAAAGGAGTAGAAATATTTGGTCTACCTTTAGATCAGACCACTTTTTTTTTCTCTGTCGCTGTCCGTGCAGTCCCACAGACACAGCTGACATAATCAGCAGCGTTGATGTGTTGCCACTTTTTTCACTTTCTTTTATTAGTGATCCTGCTGCTGTGGCCACCAAATAAAATCTTTCTTCAGTCTTCCAGGTAATTTGCACGATCATTTATGGTTGAAGTAGGGCGTGTAGAAGGCGGAATATGAGGCAGATCTGGGTGCGCACAACTCCAGGAGGTCTGTGATTTATAAAGAGAACATTGCGTGCAAGTGTGCGTGCGCATGGTTTTATAAATCAGATTGTTTTTTGGCGCACGTCATTTTCAGCTTTTGGGTGCACGTCAACTTTTAGTATGAATCATAAGCACTCTTTTATAAATGAGGCCCCTGGTCTGTTTGTTTTGGAGAGAAAGAGACTTCTGTAGATAATTTGGCTCCCAGTAAAAACCTCCTGAACAATGAACACTGAAGGAATTCTAACCAGGAGAATTTTCAGCTCGTTGCAATCTGCCATCCTCACAGCTAGATGGCACTAAATCCCTCTAAATCTTAAACACTGGACCTTTAAATGTTTTTGCAGGTTTCCTAATTGCATCTGCTGCCATGTCGGGCAACAGTCCAAATGGATCTAGCCGTCAATCACAGCTGAGCTTAAGAAATGATACTTTATGTGGTCACGCTTTACAATACGGTACACAGAAAACGAGTAGTGATCTCATGAACTAATGAGAAATGAATGACGAATGAGGAAGTAACCATTAGTTTATGGTGAGCTCTTGAGTAACTCCATCGAACGTCACACAGTAGCTAATCATTAGTTAAGAATTAGTGGATTATTAATGATTGAGAGGGAACTACTTGTATTTTGTGTACCTTTTTGTTAAGTGTTACCCTTTACGTCAGTATGCTCACACCTCTGTGTGCATGCAGGATTCTTTGCCAGTGCTATTGTACCTTCGTTATCCTTGTAAACCTTCTGGTGTGTATGACATACACTCTTGTTTGGTTGTGGTGTGGTAACTCCGCCTAAGTGGTCAGTGCAACAGCAGCCTGCGTCTTGTTTTTCCATGAAATCAAAGGACCTGTCTCGATTAGGCTCGTGCTATCGTGTAAACACAATGTCTGATAAACCAGTCATTGAGTAAACACAATAACTGGGCCAATTTTTAACTCTGTATTCCTGTAGGCCCAGTTTCTCATTGTCGCATTTCCTGTAACACAACTCTTTCTACAATCTTCAGATATCTCACTAGGCCTATATGTTTTACAGTCAGCCATTGTGTTGAGTTAATACTGTGACAGTTTACATCCTGCAGAACTCAGATCAGTCCTGGTTCATGTAGTCAGATAGATTTGGCTACCCACTGTCTCTCAGTGTTTTCTGTCCTAATTCATCATTTCTGCATCATCAGTGTAGTTTTTGTTCACAGGGAGTCGCTCATAACCTTTCATATCAAATCTTTAAGTATTCTCTCCACATATCTCACACATTCATCACTCTGGTGGTCAAAATATTGCACGTTTGAGTTAAGATGAATGATTCTCAATATAGCTCATGGCACAATGGTGAAGCAGTGTTCGATTCTGTTCAGTTCAGTCAAAGAGCGTGGATACCAAGAGGTGAAGCTCCGTTGAATTTTTGCCAACAGCCACTAGGGGCGCTGCGGTAGCGCTGCCGCCATTTTGGACTGTTGAGCTTGGACTGTTGCGCCCGGTAAGATGTCAAGGAGAGAGGAGAAAAAAAGTAAAAGAAAACAGTGTAGTGCAATTAACTGCAACAACTATCAGTGGAACACCCCGCACCTGGCCTTCCACCGTTTCCCGAAGGATCCCGACAGGTAAGAACTCCTGAGGTGTAAGTTTTAAAGTGTTTTAATATCAATTTAATATGCCAGTTTTGGAGGTAAGATAACACATCATATTAAAATAGCCTATATATTATTATTATTATTATTACTGTCCCCTTACTGTACAAACTGTAAATAAATCTTTATTCCTGACTATGTGACGTCGCCATTACTGTGTTTCTAGTTAAAATACTGATTTTTTTTAATTTTTATTTTTTGGTAGATTGGCTTATGGGGTGATTTTGAAGTAGCAATTAAGTTACTCTTCTCATAAGTGGATGTAATATGTAGAGATGCCATCTAGGCCGTTTTTTTTTTTTTTTTTTTTTAAAGTCTATTTTTTGCTTTACAAAAACGTGAAAAAGCAGCTGTGACCAAGCTATCACGAGGTGAGTAGCATTGTAAGCATAATTAATAGCGATATACTTCAGTTTGTCTGTGTGTTTGTATGCAAGCGGGTCTGCTGCGGTCTGCTGACAGTCCAAAATGGCGGCGGTAGGACGAAACCACGGGCGAGTCTGTTGCTATGGGTCGTTCTATTGAGCTTCGCCTCTTGGTATCCATGCTCTTTGGTTCAGTGACAGCTCTTTGATAAAAGCTCTCCTGCAGGTTGGAGGTGCAGGCTTTGAATGCTCTGTAGCGCCACCCAGAGGGTAAGAGAGAGAACAGGTGATGACGGTTGGGTCGCATCTCTCAGGATGTTGTTGAGTCCAGTGATCTGACTCTCTGGAGACCTTTCCAGTCTGCCTCTGTACAGTTCACATACCAGGCTGTTAGACAGTGTGTTAGAACACTTTCAAACATAATTTTATGAGTGGTCTCGAACATCCAAGTTAACATCTGCTTTTCACAGTCCACAATTAGGCCTATTCAAATGCAACAAAACACAAGCTTTAAAAGGAGGAACATAAAAAATGCATGAATATCGTCAAATCAGATCTTAATTATTATTTTTAGAGTATTTATAATGATTGGATTATTAAAGTTGTGGGGTAAAGATACACTATTGGTCCATTTACATTTCTTAAAATAAAAATGGTTCAAAAGTATTAAATTGATTTGGAATTCTCTGCATGTAGTATTTTTATTTTAATGCTTAAATGCATTTTACCGATTGTATTTGAATACTTGTACTGCAGTAACGTTTTCGATGCAGTGCTTTTATAGTGTTTTATAGTGTAAGTTAATTTTTGTTCACAGGGAGTTGCTCAGGGTTAATTATAATCGTTTGTTATTATGTGTTCTTATAATCTTAAGCAGCGTATTTTCCAGCAGAAAAAAAGTAAAAAAAAATACGTTTATAATTATACTTTGGTGTGTCATCTTACTTTTCATTGTTTTGTTTTTTAACTACTAGCCTATCTATTTTATTTTAATTGCCGGTCTTGTAAGCTGTAAGTAGCCAGAGCTGGCAGTGTGTATTACTGCCTTTAGATGGCAGCAGAGCGCTGTCTGTCACTTGCGTTTAGAAGACGTAGACGAAGAAGAAGAACTTGTTGACGTCACACGCAGAGCTGATGATGGCGGTTGATTTGACTCCCCGTTTCAGACGGTTGAACAGCCAAACGAGGAGTTTTCGAGAAAATACACAACATGGTAAGATTTGAGTATTAAAAATTAATAAGTTGTAAGTTAGTTAATCTCCAGTTTATTTAAATAAAACGCCGCAAGCAAAGCACAGCCGTGTAAATAAACGCTACGACGCTGGACGTTAGCATTGACAGATAAATCCAACGGCCGTGCTAGCTGTTTATTAAGGAAATATATGTTATGTTTATTGAAATGTTTGTAGAGCAGATATCAAGGATATAATTTACAGAAGTAGTGGAGAAAGTATTCAGAATCTTTACTTAAGAGAGGAATCAGTATCACACGGTAAAAACACTCTATTACAAGTAAAAGTCCTGCATTAAACGTCACAAAGTACGTCATATTTTATCAGTTAACATTTAAGTATGCTTTAACTGCTTTATATACTTTTTAATAAGTACGAAACCGTAGGAAAAGTATATTATGGGGCTGTTATTACGAATGTATTGATGTGAAAGCAGCATTTTACTGTTGTTCGACGTGGAGCAAATTTTAGCTAGATAATGTACAAGAAGGTCGTTTTAGGTGAGACACCATAACGTATGTGTTTTTAACAAAGATATCATTATGAAACTTCCCCAGTTGATTAGCCTACATTAAGACTATTTTTTTTGTATTACAAGTTTTCTGAAATTGTATGTCTAAATATGCAAAAAAGGCACTATCTAATTAAATGTGTGCTTTTTGCAAACATTTCCAGAACAGAAATCTGAACCAAAATAAACACTTGAATGTGTATTTTTCTTTCCACTGTTTTAAAGGAAGACATGCTATGGAAGCAAAATAGCCCAAACTCTTAGAATTGGCCAGTGCATGAAAAAAAAAAAGTTTTCACCTGGGATGTTTTGCCTTAATCTTTAACAGTGTATCAGCTTTAAGATCAGGGTTGGAAATTAACCTTCTTGTCCACCTGCCACTGTGGCTTCATGTCCACCTTTTAATTTGAAGCAGGATATGTTAATTCTTAGCTTTGGTATTCAACCTGTTCTGATCCCTTTTCCTCCAACCCTGTCTCCTAACAGTTTTCTCGGGGCCCTTCGGTGCCACCCAGCTGTGGCACAACATCATCCAGGCCCTGCAAACCCAGGTGGAGGTGCGCCGCTGTAGAAGGCATCTCCGCGTTCACACCGAATGTTTCACAGGCTCGGACGCCGTGGATGCCGTCCTCAGTTACTTGATGCAGAATGTGGTGTTTTGCACAAGTGAAGTGTCTCGCCTCAAAGCTGCCCGACTGTGCCAGGCGCTGATGGAGGCCAAGGTGTTCGAGCCAGTGGGTACGAAGCTGTTTCGCAGAGACAAGGAAGTGACCTTTGAGGACAGCAGCTGCAGCCTTTACCGTTTTCTGGAATATAAAGTGGTACCAAATTCTGCCATGAAAGAGTGCAATAGTGACACAGAAAATGTGCCACCAGAGGAACAAGGGCTGAAGAGGAAGAAGAGCTCCAGGTTGGTGTTACTAATCGCATTTTGGATGTTTATTTTATCCATATAGAAGCATTATTGTAAAGTAAAGTAACACTCATACACACAGCAGACATGGGAGATGCATTATGTGATATAATAATGATAGTGCCCTAAATATCATCACCTTTTGTATATCACAGTTGATCTTCTCTCCTCTGATCTGAGTGCTCAATAATCACCATAAAGCTTCTTGTTGTTTCAGGAGGCTGAACGAACTGAGGACAATCTCTAATCCCCTTGCTGTCGGACCATCAGACAGGAGGGTTGAGAGGCTGCTGAGAACCATCAACCTGCGACCAACCTTGTCTACAGCTTTAAACACAACCCCCACTACTCCTGCCTTTCTGTCCAAAACTGGTAAGACTGAGCTCATCTGTCAGTATTTGCTGGTACGGTAGAGAACAACAGTTTATGGTTGATTTTTCCTCTTTCTACTCCTTCCCCAGTGATGGATGACGTTTGGAAGCAGCAGACGCTACTGCAACTGCTGCAGATAGTAGAGCTGCCCATGCTGGACTGCATCCTGATGTCTCCTTCCAGGGTTCAGCTCCAGGCCTGCAGAGCTCTTGTAGCCACCCAGGACCTGGTTATCTCTAACACATGTCTGGAGAGAGAGCTGCCCGACACTCTTAATCTGCCCCAGTCAGTGCTCTAATTTCTGCTTCAAGCTTTTTTGCACGGTGAATAAAAAACTAGACAAGGTTCCTGCAAGTCTTAAAAGTTGCTGAAACAATCTTTCAAGAGTCTTAAATGCTAGGACATGGAAAACAGGATTTTATGGATCACAAATTCAACGAATATTGGCTATTTAACCAAGATTTTGTGGCATGGCAGAAACCGGTACAAGGCTGTCAGCACAATGTTAATCAAAGCAGTGGAGTCCCACATGCAGAGTGAGAAACACAAAATCGCCAAGAAAACTTGCCGACAAACGCCAGAGATTTCCCAGTTCTGGGGTCTCATTTATAAATATTGCATATGCAAATAACGAGGCCTGAAAGAGGCGCATTTCACTTCCCACCCTAACGTTGTGCTCTATAAAAACAGACTTGATAGGAGAAGCTTTGAACCATGCTTCCAAACATTTAGGAGATGGGACATTGGTGATGCAGATCGTGAGGTGGAAGCCTGATTGTAGAAATTGTCTAATAGTCTTTGGCACGTGCCACTTTTGGATTTGTCTCTGTATATTTTTAGTAAGGATCCTACTCATTCTTTTATAAATGAGACCCCTGTTCTACTTTTGTCGCAGCTGCAAGACAAAAAAGTATGTTTTATTTTACAATAAAAGTTGGGCCAAAATTGACCTAACCCTTCATAAGATTGTCTTCAGTTTTGGTTATTGCAAAATTGGTCTTAAATTTCATTTTGAGTGGCATTAAAAAGTCATAAGTCTCATTTGCCTCAAGCTGTAGGAACCCTGCTAGAATTGCTGCATTCAGAGATCCTGTTCCAGCATCTTCAGATAGTACAGAGAGAATGACCTGTGATTTATAAGCTTTGCAGTTTTGATAGCAGCAGATGCTTGCACATGTATTCCACCTCCCCTACAGTAACAAAAAAACACATTATGCTGTGTTTACAGTTTGGATGGGTGGCTGTCGGCAGCGGCAGACTGCTTGGAGCTCTTTCCCGACCAGCTGATCGTGGTTGCAGGGGAGCAGCTCAGCCAACAAGGTGACAATACCTTTTCAGAAGACGGCCAGTCGGAGCAGATGGCGAGCCAAAAGAGGCTGCTGTTTGACACTATTGCCAAGTACTACAGTGGACAGGAGAAAGCTCCCCTTCTCTCAGGACACCACGTGGACATACACGCTGCAATCCTGGATTTGCTGGGTGAGACTTATGAAGGTTTACAGTGTTTTTGCCACCTTGAAAACTATGGAGAGAGATTTGACATCAGATGATAAGTGTGCGTACATGTGAAGCGATAAGCGACAGTTCCTCTGTGATTTGTAATTCATTGTCTGGCATAGTTTTGTTCCTGTCATAAAGTTGAAGTTGAAGATCTTCATCCTTTTCCACCTACAGTCTTGCACATTTATTTTTTTCCAGATGAAGGGAAGTTGCAGGATGCCATCAAAGCATCTCAGCTGTGTTTTCGACTGCTGGAGACGAGCGTGAGGGATGAACTCAGGAGACTGCTGACCTTTATGGCCACAGCAGCTCACCCAGACGCTTGCCGTCTTCAGAAACAGGTAATTTGTGTCCTTCACCAGAACACACTGTCAGCTCAACGCTTCTTTCCACAGTTCAGTGCTTTTATGTGCAGCACTTGAAGTATCATGATAAGAAATACAATAATAAAATGTAGGTTTTAACGTTATGTGTTTTATGTTAGGCAGACTTTGGTGTTCATAGCTCATGCTGTTAGAGCTGCAACGATTAGTTAATCAACTAGTTGTCAACTATTAAATACATTGCTAATAGGGCTGGGCGGTATGACCTAAAATTCATATCACGGTATAAATCGAATCCCTTCACGGTAACGGTATATATCGCGGTATAAATTTAAGTGTGAAAGTTATAATAGAAGTGTTTCTGAATGGGTTTTGTAGTCCCTTAGCAAAGCTAAATTGATAAAAAAACAACAACAAAAGCAAAGATATAATGTATTTTTTAGAGCATTTATTGTGCAGAATGCAGATCTCAAAACTCAAAATTAAATTCCAGTACTCTATGGTGCAAAATGTCCCCTGGGATCTATATCAAAAGGTAATTTCCTTCTTTTAGCAAAATCCTAAATGACTGAGTTGTGTTTTTTTCCACCTGGACCTTTATGCTCTGCCATTTCTCCTCTAATCATCACGCTGTAACCTGTGACAGGCTGCTATGATACCACAACTATCACACATTCACATATGGAGTTTTTTGTGGAGCCCCTAGCGTCACATAGGTTTACATTACCAAAGGTTTATGACAATCTCTCTTGCCGAAAACCAACTCCCGTGTGCGCACGGTGAGAGAGGAGAGGGAGAGACGCTGTGCTGCTGCCAGAGGAGACACTGAATGAGTTCCCTCTGAGCGGTTAAGTCGCTAAAAGAGTCTGAGAAGTCCAGGGCTGTTCATAAGACATTAACTCACTCACTCACAAGTTCGCCAGCAACACATGTTGCACGTGCTACGCTAAATCACGGACGTGAACCAGCTCCTCTTGCTCCGCTGTCTCTGTGCTCGCAGCCATTTTCACACTGAGGCAGGTGCGATGACGTCATCGATGATAGGACGGTAGAGCGCAAATCTCTACCGTGGGCCAAATTTATATCATTTCTACCGTCTACCGCATATACCGCGCAGCCCTAATTGCTAACTAATTTGATAATTGATTAATCCTTTTGAGTGACTATTAAAAAAAAGTCACAATTCTCTGATTCCAGCATCCATGTTTTAGAATATGAAGTTTCTCTGCAGCAACATCCATATTTGAAGCATTGTCTTCTGTCATGGCTACATAAAAGTCTGGACAGACAAACTTAGCTGCAACCATGAGGTGGTAATTCAATTTCAATCTGAATCTGTGCTTCCTTTCAGATTGATAACAGGGCCTCAGTCTGCCGTGCTTTTCAGAGAGCAATTGTCCAGAATCATGAACTGACTCGAACCCAAAGTGAAACCCTGGTGCTGTTTCTCATGGACAATTACACTGAGCTCTTCAAGGTACAGTTTAACTTTTTAATGTAGGTAACACAGACATGCTGTTTTAAAGACAGAAGAAAAGTTTCACATCACCTTAACTTTTTAATTGGAGCAACTTTTATTAAGCTGCTCTTTTGTCAGTACAGCAAAAATCAAATCAATCAGTGTTTGATTAAACAATTTTAAAATTCCTTTTTCTCTCTTTTCCTAATAAATAGACTCCTACATCCCTTATTGAAGCTGTGAGGAGAACACTGAGGACTATGCAGCAGGGAAAAGACCCTGACTCAACTGCCAGTAAGTTAAATACAACTAAACATGCACACACTAGCTGACATCACACATTACACCATCACCATCATACATATACAGAAAACCTCAAACTTTTTATGTCCACTGTGTTTTAATGCTTTGGTCAAAAACTGTCCTCTTCCCCTTTTGCTGTTGCAGCGTTCACCTTCTGCCAGCAGGTGTCGCCAGAGGAGTACGAGGACCAGCGAGAGGCTGCCACCCTGGAGAGCCTCAAACAGCTTCTTCATGACATCTCCTCCAGCAAAACCTTACCTGTCAAGGAGAGAAGGAGGCTGCTCAAAGAGTTTGAGAAACATCACCCCGTGGTCTTCCTCCAGCATTTATCCAGCACCTTCTGAATCATACATGTGAAGGCTTATCGGTTTGACTTCCCAAGTGCACTTCACAGAGCCAGGTTGCAGTGGTACAGCGCTTACACTGAAGAATAGCAATAATTTAATGCACATTAATCTGGGTCAGATTAAACATGCTGTTGTTAGTGATTGACGTGATGTGATGAAGTCACATGAGGCCACAGTTGTTGAGGCTTTATTTGTAGATATTCTGTTAAGTCTTGTTCTTTCGTGTTTGTTACAATCTTGTAGCACTGGATGCAACTATCTCAATGGTTCTCAGCCTTTTCTTGTGTCAAAGACCCCTAAATGGATACGCATTAAATCACGGACCCCATCTGATAAGATTTCACACCACAAAACTCCATCTAAGGGCTGCGACTAGTGATTATTTTCACTATCGATTAATATGTTGATTATTTTCTCGATTAATCCATGGGTTGTGTGGTCTTTGAAATGTCAGAAAGTGGTGAAAAATGTTCTCCCAAAGCTTTAGATTACGTTCTCAGACGTCTTGTTTTGTCCACAACCCAAAGATATTTAGTTTACTGAGATAGATGTGTGAAGAAACCAGGAAAAAAATTCACATTTAAGAAGCTGGAATAAAAGAGTTTTGACTTTTTTTTTTTTAAAGCAAATTAGTTGGTGATTAATTTAATAGTTGACAACTAATCGATTTATTGTTGCAGCTCTACTTCCATCTAAAAAGATATTGGTTGTAAGACATGATTGAAATTTGCCTGTGTCCAGACCTGAGTTTGAGTTGACTGATTTCATCTGGCATCGTGACATGAAACAGCAATTTCTCAGTTAAAATAAAAAACAAGCCAATCAGCGCCACAGGTGGGACTAGTACTGTAGTCAAGCTGTTGTCAAGCGCTGTTAAATGGTTTGCAGAACCAATGAGTATTAATAACAACGGCTAGCGCTGTAGACAAGATAGATGCTGCTATTGAGGCTGTTCTACATCAGCATGTCTTTTCAGTACTGCCGGACATCATAGTTTGTTTTACTTCGCTCCACTCCACTCTGTAAATCCTGGCAAAACAGGTATATCAGCATTAGTGTGGAGTTAAGGTTAAGGTGCCTAAACAGCAGTACTCAGTGAGCTGTGGTAGTTTCAGCTGTTTGTGGCAGTTGACATTTTTTGTTAAGTTAGGACACATCTTTTAATTTTACATTAATGACACTAACTTTATGTTTAAAGATGAATAACGTTTAAAGATGGCTTATGTGCACTAGATTAGGGACAGACCGATATGGATTTTTTAGGGCCGATGCCGATACCGATTTTTTTTCATCACCCTTAGCCGATGACCGATTATGGACTGCCGATTTTCTTGAGCCGATATTTGGGGCCGATACTACTTTTGCTCCCTCAATTTACATAAAAAAAAATGACACAATGATAACACATATTACAGGTCTCAAGTTTAAAATCAGAAACATTTATTGAACAGTAAAAAATACTAAAACAAGATGGAAAGTTGAGGTAGAGCAGGTAGAATATTATTATTATTATTATACATTCAAATAAAAAAAAGAGTTCAGTGCTCTTAAATCTTCCAGTAATGTCTTTATAAAATAAACAAATATTTAAGCTGAAGCATAAATAAAACAACAGCTACTGTACACAGTAGGATTCAACAGCTTTGTTCAACTTAACCACATACTTTCAAATGAAAAAAAGTGCCAGGGAAAAATAAATCTGCTAACCCACTCGTTTATCGGCCGATGCCGATACAAGTAAAAAACTCAAATATCGGCCCGATATATTGGCCGGCCGATGTATCGGTCTATCCTTACACTAGATTGTACTACTGTAGAATACTGTAGAATATTAGTCTATGCAAAGTATGAAAACATAAAAGGGATTACTGGAAAAGAATACTCTCAGCCATCTAACACGCTGTTTTAAGGTTACGATCAGTGAACAGCTTGTGCACTAATTGATTTACCTCTTCGATAAACTAATGTGTTATCATTAAGAGCTATTTAAGTGAGGTTGATTGGGGCTTTAGAAATGGAAGTGTGGTTTGCAGATGTAATGCTGTGCACTTTGATCAGGCATTAATATTTCTACATGCCAAATGAAGACTAATAATATCATGGCAGCCTTTTTTAGTTTTACTGTAGCATGCTGTAGTGTGTTGAAGGAAAAACACAGGTGAAGGGAACACTAATGTAGCTGAATGAGGTTTAACACTGACTTGTTTGTGTTATAGATGAAGACTGATCTCTCTGTGAGGATTTTTTTTTTTTTCAATAAAACTAATATGAAATGAAAGCAGAAAGGGTACAGTAATGTGTTAGGCTAAGCATAGCTCAGGTTTATATGTTTTAATTTTCAGGATGTTTTAACCAACATTTATTGCCAGTATCTTGGTCAAGTGTTTTTTAATTGTAACTTTTAAGGATTTTACTTGAAAGTTTGACATATTCCTTTTTATGGAATGTGTGTAATTAATACTGATTTAATATTATTTTAGGCTATTAATTAAAACTTTGGTTTAGCATGATACCTCAGTTGGATATTATCCTTTTAACTCATGAAGCCATGGTCATACTTTACAGGCAGAGAGGTAATTTACAGGCAAATCTCAATTCAGTCAGCATCTTCTGTTCTTTACATACACTGAAATCATGTTAGATTGCACTTTATGATGCTGAAACGTGCTTTATTTTCTGTCGGAATAACACATCTAATAAAAGTTTAATTGATGTTCTCTCAAACAAGACTTTGCTGTTTTTTTTCTGTGAATCTTAAGTGGTTTTTGATATGGTTGTAAAGGGCCCCTTAACACGAGACAGTTAAAGAAGTTTTTTTTTTTTTGTTTGTTTGTTTTTTTTTTCCCCCCAGACACTAAGGTAACTAAGAACTGCAGTGACTTTTTTGTCCTCACATCCCTCCTTATTGCCTAATCGGAAATTTCAGCTGTATTGCCACTGCAAATGTTTTTAAATTGTACTTTACTGCATGCTCAATATTTATAGCGGTTATAAAAATAGTGTACAATAGTTAGGGTCACAAATTTGGACTTAAACTATAGTTTCTACCATCACAACTGTCTATATGTGGCCCAACCTGGGTATTAGGGTCCTAATTTCATTATTAGCTGTTAAACTCCTGGAAATAATAATGTAGGGGCCATTTATTGGTCCCAGCTACACATTTAAAAATGGGGGGGATACACATTTAAAAATGCTCAAAATGCCTGCAACCATGCGCCACTGTCCAAAATAATTAATAGCAAATGTTATCTTAATCATAAATAAATGTAACAAATTGCCATTTTTATTACTATTGGTTTGAGTATCACGGTGTATCATATACTGGCTCCCTAAACCGGCACTCAGTCATCAAAACTTTGAGAACCCCTGATCTAAGAGACTGTTCTTTACTTATCAGAGGAGGTGGCTGGGGTGTGGCTTCATTTGTTTTACCCTTGAAGCTACAAATATTTTTCCTTGAACCTGAGTGACTGGCAGAAAATACATGAACCTCCCTCTCCCTACTTAAACTAATGCTGCGTCTCAAATCGCGCACTTCTGTACTTACACTTACTATTTTGAGTGCATAAGTGCGTTCGCACTGAGAAGTATGGAAAAATGCAGTGCACTATGAGTACCCAGATGGTGCACTCAAAACGGTCAAGAAGTTGAGTGTGCAACTATGGACACTTCTCGTCCTCAATGTTCGCTATCTTGGCTACGTAGCGTTTCAAACTGGAAATAGCGGCTGAGGACTGTGCGACCGTGAACGTCGCTGCATTGTATAAATACGTGATTTTTGCACTAAGCACCACGATACTGTTGTCGGAAGCCAGCAGTATGTTTATTGGGTCAATTTAGCAGTCTGTGATGATATGGTATGCTAATGCTAGTTTGCCAACTCACTAACTTGCGGTCGTCATTTCTGGTGAGTGTTTGGTTTGATACAACACTACCCTGTTGAAATTTGCGCACTACGCCAATGAGTACATATAGTGCACACGGTATACTACACTGAAGTGTACTGACGGAAGTATGTGATTTGAAACACACCATAAGTTACTAGGTTTTTAAAACGTATCCTTTGACGTTTGAAAGTTGAATGTTAGGAATCCTGGAGTGGAAAAAAAAGCCTCAGGTTTCCGCTCTTGTCATGCATGCTGGTTGATTAGTGCACATGGTTTATTAGATGTAGAATAAAGTTATTTTGCTTAAATATCATGGTTTAAAACACAGATTTTGTTATGTTTTTTTTCTGATGGAAGTGTTTGTCACACATAATGTGTCAAAGGATGGTTGGAAATGTGAAAATCCATTGAGAATATCTGTTTTCACAGTTTCAGGCTTTGATAAATGGCATTTTTTTACATGCTAACATGCTAATGCTAACATGGCCCCCTCCCCTCCATAAATAATGAACAGTCCCTCAGAGTTTTGTTTCAAAATACTATGAATGGTCAGTTTAGCTGTGAAGTGTCAAAAAATTCTCCTGGATAACCAAACCCCCTGGAAAGTTGGGTCACAAGAGGTGTTGACTCAAAATGGTCCCCCCAGAATTACACAGGTGACCACGGCCCTGCTACTGGTCTTTGTACAAAAATCTGTGACCTGTCATGACGTCACATTTGCCCTGAGTCTGTGTCCCTATGAAAATATATAAGACGTTCAACACACTGAAAATAAATCCTGTCACTCTTTGTAAACAGTAAATCACGACATTTGACGTACAGTTTATTTGTACATGCAGTGTAGCCAAATAGTTAGTTTTGAAAACCTCTGATGACGTCGACGCACATGACAACCCGGAAGTAGGTTTGTTCGCTCACTAGCGCACTAAGCTACCTCATTTCGTATGCTACTGGAAGACATGGGGGCTGTGTTTCACAGCCATCACTGACAGCGGCACAGCTGAGAGTCCACTTATAACAAGAAATACAACTGAGAGCCCTTTTCATATCAAGGTATGTAGCCGGAGGGTATCGGAGGGACAGTTTTGGATTCAACAAACAATCGGTGTTTGGCTGTCATGACTAACGTCACTGTCTAACGTTACTTGCGCATTGTTTGCTAGTTAGCTTGGGTAGGTAGCCACCGTGATCTGTTCGTATACAAAAAGTCTTTCGCGGGAGCCAACAGATTGCAACGATGATGTCAGCCTTCTTGAGCTACACGGGTAGATAAGGGGTTAAAAGAAGGTAGCTGTAAACGGCTAACGGTAAGTGTCACAGTGCTAGTTTTGATGTGTGCGCACAGGCTAACCAAGCTAGCATCAAGCTATCTCACAACCAGACATGACGCTCACGCTTAGCGATAAATACGACACTTAAATGCTTCAACCCAACGTTAATATTGTGTTATTAATCTCACATGAATAGCCTGTCAAATAATAACCGTGTTAGTAAGCTGGTGTTACTGAACTGTCAGGTACGCCGATGGCTAGCTGACGTTAGCTAGCTAAAGACTATGCTAAGAGGCTGTGTGCAGGTGGTTTAGGTGAGATGAACGCTGCTCTTAGTTTACCTCTGACCGTCTGGCCACTAACTAGCTTATAGTATCGACTGATTAGTAAGTGTAAAGTGAACTGACTGCCTTTATAACAATGATATAACAGTGTCGGTGCTCTTGGCAAATTCCCTGCAAACCTGTTGCAGCTAAAAGCTTAAAACAGCCTCCTACTAGAGGAAATATATAGTGACGCATATCCTGTAATAATTAGACTTTGTTGCCATAGATTTGCATCTGATATATATTGATTCCTTTGACATTTCACGACATAAATAATGAGCTATGACACAGGTGTGGTTGCAATGTTATGATTCATTTGCAGGCCAGACATCCTGCAATATCTGTCATCTGTAAATGAAGCTATGTTGTTTTGGGTTTGGCTCAAGTAAAACTGGCTGTTGCAGGATTGACACACTGACGTCATTAAATTGAACCATGCTGATTGACTGATAGATTTCATATGTTTGTGCACCCTCAGTTTGGCTGCTACAGCAGCTGGCATCGGCTGAGGATACATAAGTGACTGAGCCTAAGGGAGGTGCTGTGTAATAGTGTATAACAGCATTATATACAGTACAAGCAGGGATTCCCATTAGCAAAATTGGCCAGGGAGGGTACTGGCAAAGTGCCTTCAAATTTTGATTAAGATCCAATTTGCTTTGCTCCATTTAATACTGATGCTTCATATATATTCTTTTTATAAATGCGGGAAGGAAGCTCTTAATTATGCATAGTGTACCGCCTGTGCATCTCAATTTATAGACGAAACCTCCTTCAGCCTTGTTGCAGCACGGTGAAATACACATCAAAGCACCAGAAGCCCACCCGAGACAGATAAAGCCCTTAAGAAACTGCTCACGTAGAAATAATTTGGCTGTAACCGTCAGCCATGTTCTTTTGTTTGACTTCCTCTTGTCCAACATGCTTTCAAGTCACTCTGAAGTATTTTGTAAGACAGGCTTAATGTGGTGTGGCTGAGCTTGCTCTGAGTCATTTTATATTTCAGTGGACAGCTTGGGCTGTAGTGGCGCTTTTCTCTTCTGCCGGCACAGGCAGGACGCTGGTGGGCACTTTGATGTGTAAATTTCCTAGCAGGTGCATTAAAGTGCATGTCGAATGGATTGTTGAAGGCTTTTGCTTCGCTATAAAGGCTCACGCTACAGCCGCCTCTTTCAGTGATTGCAAAGACTTTTGTTGTTTTGGCGTTTGAGTGACCAGTCTGTACCTCTTGGTTTGAAGGTACTGTGTTTGTAACTGCTCACCTGTCCTGGGTGGTCTGTCATCCACCTTTCTCACTTCAGCTGCCAGGTCAGGCGTGAATATGGAGTCTATGCTGAACAAGCTAAAAAGCACTGTCACCAAGGTGACGGCGGATGTCACCAGTGCTGTCATGGGCAACCCGGTGACACGGGAGTTTGAGGTTGGACGACATATCGCCAGCGGTGGTCCTGGCTTGTGTTGGAGGATCTACAATGGCACAAAGAAGTCCACAAAACAGGTATGTGAGTGTTAATATCCTCCACTTCACCAGACCAGCTCCGAAGTTTAGATTTAAAAGGAGCAGTGTGTAAGATTTAGGGGGTTTTAATGGCATGTAGCAGTGAGCTACCTTTCTTGGATAGAATTCCTTCAGTGTTCATTGTTTAGGAGGGTTTTACTGGGAGCTGAATTATCTGCAGAAGTCTCTTTCTCTCCAAAACCAACACACTCACTGATTTAAACCAATAAAAATACTGAATAAAGCGGTTTCACATGAAAAAAAATCAGTGTTTTTCTGACACTGTTGTCGCAGTGGCCGATGCGAACACACAAGTAACTATATCTAGAGCCAGAGTTTTCTTTGTCTGTGTATAAATGGCTCATTCTAAAGTAACGAAAAACGCAACAATTATTATTTTCATGTGATTATACACCAAAGAAAACATACTCATTATACTGACATACATTCCTGCCAGTATACCCCCCGAAATCCTACACACTGGACCTTTAAATGGACAAACAACTGATTATATTTGTCAACAAGGACTTTCCTCACCATGAGTAGCTGTTTCAGCGCCTTGTTGTTTTCTGACGCTTCAGGAAGTGGCTGTGTTTGTGTTCGACAAGAAGATGATCGATAAGTACCAGAAATTTGAGAAGGACCAAATTGTTGATTCGCTAAAGAAAGGGGTGCAGCAGCTGACCAGACTGCGTCACCCCCGTCTCCTGACCGTGCAGCATCCCCTGGAAGAGTCACGGTGATTAACACACCCACATAAACACACACAAACATGTGTATCAAGGGCAAATTGGAGGGAGTTGTGGCTCAAAGAGCAGCTTGACATTTGAGGGGGAAAATTGCGTAATAATTCTATTTGTCTGCCTCTGTTTGTGCATATGTGAGCAGAAGCTTGTCATGATCAAACGACTCTGTAGAATGGGCTCTGAATTATTTATGGCCCCAGAGGTCGAGGCTGTCTTGTGCTTACTTTCTTTTTACCGCTGTGTCTTTTTTAAACTTTCACCCAGGGCAGCTCTAAATTCAAAGCGCTTCTCTGTCTTTGTTTTTGACTTTGCTCATGTTGCCATTTGTCTCTGTCGGCTTCAGAATAACTCATCATTTTAAAGGCAGCTGCATTAAATTCTACTGATGTTATTTCTGTATTTGGCTCTCAGAGACTGCTTGGCGTTCTGCACAGAGCCGGTGTTTGCCAGTCTGGCCAACGTGCTGGGCCAGTGGGAGAATCTGCCCAGCCCCTTGCCCAGTGACATCAAGGAGTACAAACTCTATGATGTGGAGACCAAGTACGGCCTGCTACAGGTGAGAGTGCAGACAGGTTAGCTTGCTCGATGCAGGGCTGCAACTAAGAGTCACCAGTTATTTGCTATGTATTTATTTATTTTTTATAAGTAACAGTTTAGTTGTTCACCTGTTGGATGTATAATGAAACATATTTGAATATGAACTTGCCTGTTTGTCATTATGAGCATACCAAATTGTGGTTGTCTGGCAGGTTTTAGTACAATGCATCATGACATCAGTACCTCTCAAAGCCAGTTGAACCAGCTCCATTTCAGGCTTCACCTGTTGGTGTTAAGGCCTTTACACAGAGAAGTTTCTGTCTTGTGATTGATTCCCTTATCAGTATATTTTTCTGAACTGTTGTTTTTGTCACGAGTACTTAGAGGCAGAATGTTGATATTACTAGAGTTGTTCCGATACCAATACTGGAATTGGAAATGCCTCTGATACTGCCCAGAATGCTGCATCAGGTATTAGCAAGTACAAAAGTCTCTTCAGTGAAGATACAGAGTACTAATAAATAAATATAGAGCCAGTAGAGATGAAAAGACAGCCCATCGACAGAAGAACAAACAGAGAATGCCAGATCAGTCAAAGGGAATCCAAAAGAGAAGAAAAAAGGACATAAGTAGGAGAATAAAGCATGTTTTATTACAATTTTTCAGCTTCCATATTTGCCACAAAAGTTAAAAATTGTTGGCAGCCAGGTGGCAAAGAAGCGTGCAGTTGATCGTACATAACATCCTTAATCCAGTGTCCGTATGTTGGAGGTGAAGAGTCCTTCCATTTACACAGGATGAACCTTCTGGCCAGAAGTGAGCAAAGAGAAACAACGTCCACTTGGGCTCTACTTAAGTTAACATCTTGAAGAGTTGCTCCAATTATTGCCATGGACATAGTTGGGGCAACCAGAAGTTTCACACCTGGATAAAGCGTTGATCATTTGCCGCTTTGAATTTTTCTTTTCTATTGATGCAGTGTTATTGGATTAGTACTCGCTATTGGCCGATACGCAAGTTCAGGGATCTGTGTCGGCACTGTATGGCACTGGGACATCTCTAGATGTTACGTGGCAAAAAGAACAAGGTTGATTTTACAGAGCTTTCACACTGCAAATAAATGCATCATTCAGTCACGTTGTCTGGAATGGATGTCACGTCACAATGTCACAACAAGTACAGCCAATAAAAATAGCTTATACTAGCTTTGGCTGTACAATAGCTTCCCTCACACAGACTGCCAGACGCTGCTCTGGGTCTATAGCAGGGGGGTCAAGCTCATTTTAGTTCACGGGCCACATGCAGCCCAATTTGATCTCAGATGGGCCGGACCAATAAAACCATCGCACAAGAACGTATGAGCTCCAATATTTTCCCTTTTTGTGCGTTAAGAATTACAAGTACATTCTGAAGACGTGCATCCTTTCACAAAACAAATGAACAGCCTGAGATGTCTTAAGAAAAATAAGCAATTTCAACAGTATTGCCCACAATAATTCAGTCTACTTCTCACTGTCATTACATGTGCATGATACATTAAGTAGATCACGCATTGTTTAACATTTGTTCGACACCCCTGGTCTATAGGATCCTGGTAGTTGGTCCTCTGCCTCCTCAGATGCAGCTGTCCTACCGAGATCCTGAAATATGTCCAAAACCAGCTACTGTAGAGCTTCAGCTCCCGTATGAGACACTCTCCTTCTCTTTCTCTACATTGGAAGTACTCAAAATCTCCTTTTGTGAGGAGGAGAAGGACAAGGTCGTCATCACTGGATGGTGTCGAATCCATCTTTTTTTTCCCCTGAAGAATGAGCTGGGTGTGAATCTGTTTGAATATTTTAAAGAACAAGTGTTGCAGCTTTAAACCATGTACTATTCCTGCAGTTGCTTCCACTCTTTCATACCAAAGCTGACACTCTCATTGTTCTATCCCTTTCAGATCTCGGAGGGTTTGTCCTTTCTCCACAGCGGGGTGAAAATGGTCCACGGCAACTTGTGTCCAGAGAACATCATCCTCAACAAGAGTGGAGCCTGGAAGATCATGGGCTTTGACTTCAGCATCTCCTCCACAAACCCCTCGGAAGCTGAGGTGTGCTGGATGACTGCCCTTAAAACGCTCTAACAAAATAATTGAATGCAGTATTGTCACATCTTTATGTTCTCACCGTCTTCAGCCCAAGTACTCGTGTAAAGAATGGGAGCCCAACCTTCCTCCGCTCTGCCTCCCCAACCCTGAGTACCTGGCTCCTGAATACATCCTGTCCGTCAGCTGTGACTCCGCCTCCGACATGTACTCGCTGGGCGTGGTCATGCATGCCGTCTTCAACGAGGGCAAGCCTGTTTTCCAAGTCAACAAGCACGACATTTTTAAGAGCTTCAGCAGGCAGCTGGATCAGGTGGGTGGAGGTGTGGGGCATGTGGGAGCGTGACGAATGACTGGATCGACAAAAGGATCATAAATCATTCATAGAATTAGAACAATTGTACTCGCTGCTACACTACACAGCCATGCGACTATTTTTTTCCCCACACATGCGTATTTTTTCTCCGGCAGCACAGCTGTCTGCTCAGATTTGTGTCATTGTCCGGCTCATAGCGCAGGCGGATGTCTTGTTTTTGATTTGAGTGGTAAAACATGTTTGAAATAATCCCGATGATTGTGCCTGGACGCACTCCAGCATCAGCTGCTTCAAGCTAATTTCAGATGCAGCCCATTTTTAGTCATCTGCTGCATGACTTGATTTTTAAGAATATCTCAAGAGTGTGTTGCTGTTACTAATCAAACACTGCTTGTATTCCTCTTTTCCTCTCTGTTCTGTTCTTCTTCTCTGTGTCATCCAACTGCAGCTGAGCAGCATAAGTCCTGCAGTGCTGAACAAGATCCCAGAGGAGGTTCGGGAGCATGTCAAGATGCTGCTCAGCGTCACATCCACCGTCCGGCCAGATGCAGACCAAATGACAAAGGTCAGCATTTTCACCCCTGGCATAAAGATCCAAATAATGATTCATTTTTCCAAAGCTCGATTGTCACAGTTTTACCCCAATGCCACCGACAGTTGTGACAAAGCTTGATCCTACAGTCTAACCCATATGTTCTAATCCTGTCTGTTATTATTTTGCTTTTGGCAGAACCACTTCTTTACTATGACAGAAATACTTTTGATAACTGTAAATGTCTCTCCATTGCCGTATTTGGCATTATACTTTAACTGATACACCTCCAAACAATTATTGCCATACTTCTTTACAAAAATACATTTAAAAGAAAAGAAGATACAAAGAATAACATTTGTTCATAGTCTGTGCCAATGTTGGTAATATCTGATGCCTTTTGTTGTGTGTGGGTTTTTTTGAAAATTTAATTCAGATTCCATTTTTTGATGACGTGGGTGCTGTGACCCTGCAGTACTTTGACTCCCTCTTCCAGAGAGACAACCTGCAGAAGTCCCAGTTCTACAAAGGCCTTCCCAAAGTCCTGCCCAAACTCCCCAAGGTAAGTGCTCATACATTTTGTAGGTAGGTTCAAAATATGAGAGAGTATGTATAAATATTTTCCATGATCTGTTTACTTTATGTGTAGTGTATGTTTAGGGCGGTTTAATAGTCATTTTTCTAGTGATGGGAGGACTGATTCTTTTCATAGTGTTGAGTTGATACATTTTAATATATGAACCTTAAGGGTTTTTTGTCACAGTTTTCTCTGTGACACTCTGTTATAAAACATCTGACAGCTAGTGCTGCCTGCCACACAAAACTTCTCGCCGATGCATCACCAGCCATCATGTATACGTTTGTATTGATAAAGATAAAAACTAATTTTAATGCATTTATTCAAGATCCTACTTGCGTGTAGTTAGGCTGTGTAAACTCAATACAATGTCACAGAAATGTCACTGACAAACAGTCTGAGTAGGGGCAAGTAGCAGACGTCCCGGTTACCTCTACAGCCTTGTGCTACATTCACGAGGTGTCAGAATAATCTGAAAAATTCGTTTCTGGTCGTAGGTCATGACTCATCTGATCTGTGTCCTTTGCTCCTTGTTGTCAAGATGTTGTTTACACGCTCTAAACAATGAAATACAACGCATCTTTGTAGCGTCCACGTTGTGTTTCACATTACAACTTGAAGTTCACGAATTCACTAAAGTCAGAAAAACAGTATCTGAGGAGCATGTGAATGCACCATGGGCCTTGACTGATGGAAGTCGCGACCATAGACTGTTATAATAAAATAAAAAATAATAAATAAATAATTAGGTAATAAAAAAATAAAATTCAGACTCGTCTGTTTCAATTGGTATTCAAAAAGATTTGGCGTTCATTTTCGCCCATCACTACCTTTTTCAATAACTGAGTGCTCATGTTGTTGTCAAATAATCCTTTAGGTGTTCCCATATCTATCAGAACACATGCCTCACATGCTCTCTGTTTAGTTGTGTATAAACACACACACACACACACACACACACACACACAAAGACAAACAGACGAGCGATTATGAGAGTTCAGACACTGTTACTGAGAAACTGCCTTCCTGTTATTTTTCTTCCTGTTTCGTCTTCCTTTTTCTCTGAACTTTTATATTTTCTAGTTAAAAGTGTTCCCTAATGAACTCATCACGAACACACAGTGTTACAGTTTGAACATTGTCTCATGGCTTCTGGTACCCACTCTGTTTTCTTTCCTTGCAGAGAGTGGTGGTGTATCGAATCTTGCCGGCGCTCACCTCTGAGTTCGTCAACCCGGACATGGTTCCCTTCGTGCTGCCCAATGTGCTGCTGATCGCCGAGGAGTGCACCAAGGAGGAGTACATTCGTCTCATCATGCCTGACCTCACGCCTGTGTTCAAGCAGCAAGAGCCCGTTCAGGTAGATGCACGTACAGTATCTGAAACAGTGTTGGTTGTTCAGCTGTTCAGCATTAATAAAGCATGTGATATTAAGCTAGCTAGCAATCAAGTAATGACAGGTAACGTGTGACTTCCCTCTTTAAATCTTTGCATGATATTTTGCATTTGTGTGTTTGAGATTTGAATAATCAGTGAAATATAACCGACTAAAGGGTTTAATCTGTCACTTTATCAAGTTTCTCTCTGTATTTTTCTTCCCATGCTTCTTCAGGCTAGTAACATGGTGAGTGGTCTCTGCTGTGAATATGCTCCGGTCACATCAGCTAGTCTGTGTCGTCTGTTAGCACTAACAGTTAAGCTAAAGCCGCTGAAAGCACTGTCTCTGTTAACCTCCACTTACCACCTCACTCTTGTAGCAAATATCGGAGAGCTTTTGATTCTTGTTTTCCTAACTGGGTCCCTGTGCCATGCAGATCCTGCTGATATTCCTGCAGAAGATGGACCTACTGTTGACCAAAACACCCTCGGAGGAAATTAAGAACAGCGTGCTGCCGATGGTCTACAGAGCTGTGGAGGCACCTTCTGTACAGATCCAGGTATACAGAGCTGTGCTGTTGTGATCAATTTAATTCAATTAGTCATGAACCCTGTAAACCACACATGGGTTTATATTTTTAGCATTCCACATAGGGAACGTGTCACATTTTCCCCCAGTCGCTGCACCCTCCGTTCTCCTCTCAGTGCTACCTTTAGAGCACCGTCAGAGTGAACGCTCTCGGCATCATAAAAATGTCACATTTCATAACGTCTTATCTGTTGCCGAGCAGGAGCTGTGCCTGAACATCATCCCGACGTTCGCCAACCTGATTGACTACCCGTCCATGAAGAACTCCCTCATCCCTCGGATCAAATCAGCCTGCCTGCAGACCTCTTCACTCGCTGTGAGTCTCCGTCAGTCGTTTCTGTTCTCAGTTTTTACCTTTCAGACTGTGTGCCTGTGCATGAATGAAATCTGTCTATATTAATTCCTTTTAGATGCCTCTACTTATCCCTGGTCCTTCTCTTGAACTGTTGCACTCTTAAAGGGCGGGTCAATCTGCGCTCTTTTCAGTGTTTTTCAAATGGAAACTGACGTAGATTACAGCTCTAATGCCCTCCCCTCCCTCAACACACCCATGCGGTAGCTAACGGTGTAAGCACAGAGAGTGAGGAAAGTGTTGGCCTGGAAGATTTGAGCTTGGAGGTGGAGGATGCTGCTATTTTATTATTATCAAACCTTTATTTAAACAGTCGAAGACACATTGAGATTCAGTGTAATACTGCATTTGCACTCCATAGTCTACCCACAGTAGAAGCAGTTGGTACACGCGCTGTTTGAAGAAGCAGACAGGGGCACAAAAGATAAGCAACATACTGTTGTTGACGCCAGTTTAGTTTGGTTTATTTATTACTGTGTGCTTTTTAGAACCAATCACAGGCAGCGGCAGACCAGCAACTCCTTGTGTTTTGCGAGGTACACTGTTTCTGTCAGTGGAGTCTGGTGGCTGTAGACGGGAGCAGCTGCAAAATATATTTTAGCCCCCTAAATAAAGCACCACCTAAAAAAATCTACATCAGTTTAAGTGTGGACTATATTTAGATTATTTTCACCGCTTTACCTCGCCATCAGACAGCCATTTTCGACAGTGAACTGAAGCCGTTATACAGTATCATCCTCTTCAAAGCCACCAGACTCCATTGACAGAAACCGTTATTTTAGCTAGCAGCACATGTTGCTGCCTTGATTGTTTAGTTTGCTTGATATAGTGTGATTTTTAGAACTGAACTAACGCAGCGTCCATGGCAATAAGTAAATTTATATGTAGGAAAGACATTGTGTAAACATGTATGTTAGGTCATGTGGAAGAAGTTTTTAGAAGCACTTTAAGCACTTAGCTAATCAAGGTTTCAAAGTGCATCACAAAATGCATGAAAATAAGACAACAATACAATATTTAAAAAAATATATATATTAAGAGCCAAGAAAATTATAGTGTGTACAGAGGCAAAAACAGAACAAAAGGAAATAAAACACAAAAGTTACAAATCACAATGTGTTTTAAGCAATGATTTAAAAACGGGTAATGTGCAAGCCAGCCTGATCTCCTCAGGCAGAGAGTTCCAGAGCCTCGGGGTCTTGATGGCAAAAGCCCGGTCACCTTTGGTTACCGACCTCGATCTAGGGACGACCCGTGAGGGTAGGCTTGAGGATCTCAGGTCACGACTTGGAGCAAAGGGAGTCAGAAGTTGAGCTTGATAACTTGGCGTTAAACCATTTTGAGCTTTAAAGTTATTAGAAGTATCTTAAAACCAGTTCTGAAGTTAACCGGCAACCAATGGAGGGAGGCAATACCATGATTTGTCCCAGTTACAATACGAGCTGCAGCATTCTGCACTAGCTGAAGCCGAGAAGATTTACTGAGGCATCTAAACGATGTGTTACAGTAGTCAAGGCGCGAGAATACAGAAGCATGAATAAGCTTTTCTAGGTCTGGAAAAGACACAGCTGATTTAATTTTGATAACATTTCGTAGGTGGAAGTAGCAGGGTGTAATGAGATTATTGACATGTGGTTCAAAGTTCAATTGAGAATCAAAAGTGATGCCTAAATTTCTTGCTGTAGATTTTATATTAGTTGCCAGAGGACCAATAAACGGTCGGAATTTCCTTGCCAGGGCCAAAGATTATTTCTTCTGTCTTGTCTGAATTAAGCTGCAGAAAATTACAAGACATCCATTTCTTCATGGCAGCAGTCTTTCACCACAGTCTACCACCACAGTCTACCACCAACTTTAATGGCTGAATTGTCTTTCTTTATTGCTCTGCAGGTACGAGTGAACTCTCTGGTGTGTCTGGGGAAGATCTTGGAATATCTGGACAAGTGGTACGTCATCGATGAGATCCTGCCCTTCCTACAACAGATCCCCTCCAGAGAACCAGCAGTACTCATGGGAATACTCGGTAAGTAATCTGGACACACTCGACTTCCTGCTGGTGTTATTAAACCAGTAAATGATTGGTTGTTTGACTCTCCCTCTCCTCACTTCAGGAATCTACAAGTGCACCTTCAGCCACAAGAAGCTTGGCATCCCCAAAGAGCACCTCGCCACCAAGAGCCTGCCGCACCTCGTCTCTCTGAGTATAGACAACAACCTCAACCTTAATCAGGTGGCGCACATTATAGAGTCATATTTAATTTAACTCCTATTTTTTTTAGTTTCTTCTTCTTCTTCTAATGTTATCTGATTTTTTTCCACGTTTCAGTTTAACTCGTTCATGGTGGTCATACGGGACATGCTGACTCGCATGGAGACTGAACACAAGACCAAGTTGGAGCAGCTGCACATCATGCAGGAGCAGCAGAGGTTTGTCATTTAAATATAAAATGGTTTCACATGTTAGTGGGGATTTTGTACAAATTAGCGAGAACATCAAATAGGGTGATTAGATCTGTCTTAGAAAGCAATTAGCATTTGATACCAGCCACATGAATATGATAATGGCATGACTAACCAGGCTTGTATAAATGCCTCTATTCAAATTCCCTCCGCTTTCTGATTTTGTTCATTGTGTCTCTTCTAACAGGAGTATAAACATCTCAAATCCAGGGCACCCACCAGAGGAGACCAAGGGCCCACCAAGCAGTGGCAACCAGGTACCAGCACTGGAAATGTTCTGTCTTACGTCTCTCTGCTGCAGTGTTTCATTTTTTGTTTTTCCTTCTTTCAGATTGATGATATCTTCGGCAGCTCGGGGGTTAATGGCAAAGAGAATGGATCCGCAGCAGCGGCCCCACAGCCTAATAGAGTATGGGAACAATGTCATACCTCATTTACACAAATCTGCACCTTTGTACATTTTGCATGTTTCAGAAAAGCATTAGCGCGGGCGTAAGAAAAAATGAATCAGGAGGAGTAGGATTTATTTTTTCTTTGGATTTCGAGAATAAGTTTGACTCCTCTGGTCCATCAAATTGTGTCTTATGATACAACATAGCCTCTCTGTATTGCACACAGGCCTAACTTTGAGACCTAACCAGTTTGTTAACAGTTTCTCTTCCTTTTCTTTCCCTAGATGTCTCTGACTCTAGAGGAGAAACAGCGACTGGCTAAGGAGCAGGAGCAGGCAGCCAAACTGAGGAACCAGCAGCCGTTAGCACCACAGAGCGTCAAACCAGCCAGCACCTCAAACACAAAGGTAATGACTCAAAACATCTGTGTGCACGAACACGTGCTCAAACGTCTCTGGCTTGTGATGATTAAATTTTCCCCATCTTATGTCACAGACTAAGGATCTGACAAGCAGCCTGCTCAACAACATGACATCTCTAAACAGCCTGTCATTGGCCAACTCACCACGACCAGCTCCGGTGCAGGGCACCACCATGTCTGCCTTCCCCTCCCCCGGCCCCATGGTGGGCTCCATGGGCGCCTCAGTCTCCAACGGGTTCAACCCACCCATGGGCTTTCAGACAGGAGGCATGGGCATGGGGATGGGCATGCGGCCTACAGGCCCCGGCCTCTACGGCGGCATGGCCACCACCACCAGCACCCCAAACTTTGGAGCCCTCTCACAGAACCAAGGACCCATGGGGCAGACAAGTAAAGCCCCCGACCTGTCAGCCTTGGACAGTCTTTTCTCACCCAGCCAGCCCAAAGTCACCCTCAACCAAATGGGTCCCAAGCCTACACCTGGCACCAACACTCCTTGGATCAGTCAGTTTGGTGCAGCCCAGAACGCTCAGACTCAGATGCAGGGTGCACCAGTGGGCATGGGAGGAGTGCCCAGCGGGTTTGGGATGCAAGCAAACCCTTTTTTCAGCCCACAGAACTTTGCTCAACCTGCTGCTGCCCCAAGCCTGAACCAAAGTGGAGTTAAACATAGTGCGTCTGTCAACAACGATCTGAAAGACTTATTCGGCTAAACTAAATAAAAAGTAGATGCTAAGTTGAGTATATTCTTTTAATAACTTCGGACAGAAGAGCCTTGAATTCTCACAGAACAATACACTGATTGAATGTGAAGATTTCCTCTCAAAGGCGCTGCTGTCTGTATTTTTAATCTGACCTGGTATAAATTCTGACTCTCGCTCACATTCAGCTGGCAAATTAACCTGCACCTGAATTCCATTTCTACTTGACCAGAAGGACAAACGGTTGGGGTGGGAAATACTTCTTCTATGCTGTTCTTTAAATGCTGGGGGTTTCCTACTGTTTTGTACTTGACATTCTTTGGGAGTCCAAATGTCGTGGGTTGAGATGAATCCCAACTCAGTTTATTCAGGAAGGTTTTGTGTTCATTTGATGAATGAGTGGATTTCACTTCCTGAACAAGTTGCATCAGAATCACCCCTTAAAGGGAAACGTCGGTATCTCTCAACCTGGACCCTGTTTTCCTGAGTTTTTGTGTCTGAGTGAGTAATGGGAACAACAGTTTTTGAAACTGGTCCAGTATTGAGAGAGACCACTGCAGGTGTGGCGTCAAAACAGGCTGTGATGTAGTCCCTATGGGAAATTGTGCACCGTCAATTTACGTCCAGAAAAAGTGCTTTTTTTTGCCACTGACAGGCTCAAGTTGTTGTTAGAAGTGTCTTACCTTCCCCTGGTCTGTTAGTTAAAGTGACAAAGTCTCACCCAAGGAGAAGTCTGGTTTTGAGATCTCACAAGAGATGACTTGTTGCAGGAAAAACAATGGCGCAATCATTAGTAAGAGTTGGAGAGAGGAGTGCCTGCAAGAATTTGTTGTGTTGGAGTACAGAACATGTAGCTTAGTTCAATGGTTCCCAACTAGTTGGTCACGGATCTACTCTGAATGGACCACAAGTGACTCATGAATGTGTCAATTTTGTGAAAAACACCCTTTATATTGAAGTACAGTGGATTTCTGGCACAGATCTTTGAATTCAAAATGCCGTTTCCTGCTGTAGAGTGAGCAACTAATGGACAGCTACTTGACAGAGACAGCAATCTAGCTCACTGACATGGCCGGACGCAAGTTTGACGCTACATACATTAAACTGTGGACCTTGAACTAATGACTAAGGAGAAATCTGGACCCCGTGGCTGGACCAGTTTGGAACCACTGGCTTAGTGTTATCTAAAAGATTTTCAGTGTCATGGCTGAATATTAAGCTGATTTTGGCGATAGGGAAAAATCTTCAAGATTCCAGGATGAGATTTCTCCTTGAGTGAGACTTGGCAACAAACACGAAAGCCCATTTTCTACCACAGAAGTACCCAAGAACACCCAATAGCATCTGGCTTTTGTACTTCATGGCAAAGGTTACAGTTGGCATTCACCTCCAGGACAAATGACTCTGTAGTAGTCATGGGTGTTTATCCCCTCTAGCTCCAATTTGCTCTGATTGGATGTGATGGAAATACAGAAATCGGAAGGACGTGCTAATTTTAGTCCCTTTGCGCCACTGGCCTCCATGTTGCTTTCTGCTGTGTACTAACCTGTTTCCTGGCTTGTCCGGGACGTCGAATGTGACACAACAGAAAAAAAATAGGCATACTTGCCCAAACAAGCACTGTTAATGGACTTAAATTGATAGTGCACAAGTGGCGATAGGGATTACACTGAGCCTGTTTCACCTCTGTGGCTGCAGCGGTCAGTCTCAACACTGGACCAATGTCAAAATCTGTTGTCTCCATTCGTAGCTATGACACAAAAACATGAGAAAATAAGGTCCAGGTTGGAAAAACACCACTTTCCCTTTCAGAATTAGCAGAAAAACAAGGTAAAAAAAAAAAAGGCTTCACATCTGCTGGGTTTCAGGCTTCTGCATCTTTACTGCTTTTCCGGACTATTTTAGGCTTTGCTGCATGTCTAAAGTGATCAGAGAGTTGGCTTAAGAACAAAAACCCGCTCACACACACACCAAAGATGTGTGAGCCCAGTGGGAGGTAGCTTGACGTGTAGCACTGACGAGCCTGCAGTCACTGATCTGCATCCAGGAGGCTCCTCTGTGGGGACTATATGAAAGGGGGTGTAGGAAGATGACAGCCCAACAGTTTGAGGTTCAGAGTGGGGGGGGGGGGAAACAAGTAGCCCCACTGCAGTCTGTCTCCATGGTGACTGTTTCTCTGCAGCACCAGAAACTCCCATTTTGTGAGCACAAATCGGACTGTGGTCATCTTTGGTCTCATTCTTTTCTGCTTTGGGTTGCTTCATTTGACATCTAAGCATGTTAAAAAGCGAAGGGTTAGTTTCGTCCGGTCAAAGTTTGATGACGACCATTTCATCTCCTCTGGTATCAATTTCTGTAAATGCAGTATGAATGATTTCTCTGTGTCTTATAGCGGAGTAGGGCGTGTTGAGTAGCAATTACAGCAGTGTCCTTTAACAAGATGCTAAAGCTAAAGGCGACAAACGAGGACCGTATGCACTGCTTAGGCTTTCGTGCCTTACATGGGTACACATGTAGGACTAGACAGACAGCGCTCATCTGTTACTCAAGTATTAATAGTTTCCCTTTTTAATCAGCTGTCTGCTTCTCAAATTACTTGCTTTGCTGCACGTTACTGAACTCGACCACGAAAGATCTAAAGCTAGATTTTTAGCATCTTTTCTAACGATGATTCCTAATGATTCCAGCGACCTTTTCTTTCTCGCATCCAGCTGGGTTTGCTCGGATGAGGTTTTTGAGGGTCTCAAAATGCAAATTTCCTTTGACCAATTTGTACAATGATGAAGATTATCACTATATATTTTGATTTCAGCACTTTTCAGCTGTCCGAGGACCTGTGCTGGCGACATGTTATTATGAAGTGTAAATAAATAGCTATTTAAAGATGGATTGCTCTGTGAGGGCCTTGGCATTTGTATGTCCTTGTGATAATGGTTAAGAGGCCTTAGATGAGTCGTGTGCAATAATCATTATTGGTTGCGTGTCGACCGGCTCGACCGGCCGTCGACGTGTCCTTACATTCATGTCCGCCGACCTACAATAGCTACATGTCAGATTTTCTAAACAGCCGATCATTAACGTGTACTCATTCTGAATCTTACATTTTTGAAGAGGATCGCACCGTTTTAGGGTTTTTAGATGCACCATGGTCACACTGTGTTTCTGCTGACAATGATTGTTGTTAACATGCTGAAGTGTAATGTCTGGATTAACTTTTGTTTTTTTGTGTAATGACGCCACCTGTACAAGGTGAGCTCCCTTTCAGCCGCATGGCAGTGAATTGGACTCTTCAGGTTCTGTTTATTTCCCCGTTTTTTTTTTTGTCACACGAGACTACAAAAGTCTCCGCAATCGGAGCTTTTTCATCTGTGGAGTGCAGTTTTGACTGTGAAGCGTGCGTCACATATCCCCAAAGCAGAAAACTAAAAAGCTTATTCTTCTACAAGATTGTTTGTATACCACTGCTGTCAATGTATGTGTCGTGTGGCCCTTGTTTTATGTGTTAAGGTGCTGGTCTCTGAGGTGGTTCAATGAAAATCTGTACATATAAAGGAAAGTACACAATCTAATACTCTCAAAGGGTGGGTCGTTATTTATTTGTGTGATGGCTTTAAGAAACTACCTCATACAGTGGAGGGTATGCAACTTTAATTTAGAAAAGACAGGCACTGATTACACGGCAGTATTAATGAACATTTTAAGATTGTCATGCACAGTTGATAGGCAGTGATACATGAAACATCAAGTTAAGTTTTCTTTGGTTTTAGGTTAAAAGAGGTATCTTGTCAAAAAGTAAAAACATTTTTTAAAAAGTTCTCAGATGACAAAAGCAGATTCATCGACATATTAAGATGTACCAAAAACTGTCCGGGTTAAATGAGACATTGCTAACATCCCTTTGGTTCAGGTTAAAAAAGGTGTGTCAAAGTGTGTTTCCCCATCAGTTAGGCTTTTCACACAGCGTTCTCTTAGCCCTGAGCTGACATACACACATTGTTAACCTAGGATTAACCTGAGCCCAGGGCTTTAAGATTCACACTGCTCTTCTACTAGCTCTGGGCTACATATCAGGTTGAAGACATAACTCATGTTAACATTCCTAAATTGAATTGTTTTCTAACCCCGTGTCACACTGGCAACTTTTAGCCCCTGGTTAAGTCCATTTTCAGGTGATAACCAACAACCTTAGGGCTTATCCTGCTCTGGAGCAGGGGCAACAAGCCCTAGACTAAAGTTGGGGTTCGCCCACATGAAATGTGTCAGGGTTGTGCTGTTTTCTTAGCCCCTAGCTAGAAGAAACATCACACAGAAAACATTTTGCAGGTTACAAACCGCATGGGGCACAGCACTGCCCTTTTTCTTTTCAATTTAATGGCACTTGCTGCACCATCACGTCCTTCCCATGTAATCTATTAATTTAATTTTTTAAAATTTTATATACTTTATTAATCTCCCTGAGGGGAAATTCAATTTTTTCACTCTTGCTGTCAATTACACACACAGGTCCGAAAGACACACACATGCACAGAGTGGAGAGATGTCAGAGTGAGGGGGCTGTCCTTGGTGAGGCGCCCTGAGCGGTTGGGGGGTTCAGTGCCTTGCTCAAGGGCACCTCGGCAGTGCCCAGGAGGTGAACTGGCACCTCTCCAGCCACCAGTCCACACTCCATATTTGGTCCAGACGGGGACTCGAACAGGCGACCCTCCGGTTCCCAACCCAAGTCCCTATGGACTGAGCTACTGCCCCTCTAGCTACTATGACCGGATGACTTGTAGCAGTGAACCTGGTATGCCCCACAAGACCCCCTAAAGGACGTGGTTGTAAGCCTTCTCCAAGTCCACAAAACATAGACTGGATGGGCAAAGTCCCATGACCCCTTTCAGCTGTCTCACAAGGGTAAAGAGCCGGTCCACTGTTCCACAGCCAGGACGGAATCCGCATTGACATCGCTGACAATTTGGTTGGATGCTGAATTCAATAGAGCACTCAAGGGATGAAATTTTCTGTAGGCTGACAAAAAAAGTTAGCTTAGCCAGAAGTAAAAAGCTAACGTTAGACTATAAACAAACTACACCCTTGACTTCACACCCCTACCACGACAATGCTGTAAAGCTGTGTTCGGCGTGATGATGTTCTGTAGTCTCGTTGAGCCAGTTGTTAGCAACCGCTTTTTTTAGGACACATAAAAGCTTCAAAATTCATGAAGGGGGTATTTACTGACAAATTTTATGTCATAGAACAAAATGTGAAAGTCTCTTCAGACCTTATTTCAGGCATCTAACCAAAAACCTATTGACCTTGAAACGAGGAAACTGGGAGTGCTGAAATGTTAAATTCTTTTTCGGGTTTTTGGACCCATTCCTAGGGCACTCTATTGGGGTCGTGATCAGTGTTCATGGCAAGAGCCCATATGAACGCAACCTCGTAAGTGGAATTTTTCTTTGAGCTCTGAGTTCTTGACTTCATGTTCATGACTTTCCATGTCGAAAACACAAGCTCACGAGATCCATTTAAAGGCAGCGGGAGATTTGGGTGTATTATGCTAGTAGCGGCTAATGTAGCCTCGAGCTGCTAGCTTCAAGAGATGAGCAGCGGGCTGCAGGCCGTCTGGTAACCTCACTTCTTTTTAACTCTGCAACTCCAGGTTTTTTTTTAAACCATTTTTAGAGATGTAGTCTTCAGCGCCAACCGACACAGACTCAAGTGACATCACTTGAGGCAAATTAGCAGATTTCTCGTAGCTCCCTCAGGAGCCACAAAAGGCTGTATACTACTTTTTCCACACATGCAGTAGTGCTGCCCGAGACCAGGTTCCCCTTTATTTTAACCTTATCTTAACCTCAACCAGGTAACTGGTTAACTCTAACCTCACCCAAACCTTAAACCCAACCACAGGAAAACATACTTCAGCACAAGAGTAGTACAGTATCTTGTAAAAAGGTAAACCTGAACATAAAGAAATGCAATTAATAAATATTAAAATGCCCTCCTCACACCTTTTGTTTAATGTCCCAAAGTTTCGTGTTAGGTAATCCGAACACTTAAGAGGCGAGACAGTACTGAATCATCCCAATATGGAGAGACAACCTGAGGGAGGCAGTGAGGTAACTGTGAGCATTGACATTGAGTGAACTCCAGACCTCCAAGTCTGTTGTCCTGCAGTCACTGGTTGAGTCTTCGCACTGGTCTGGTGGTGTTTGTGGACAGGTTCCTCTGAGTCATGGCTGCAAAAGATTTAAAGATTTAAAGTAAACTTCTTCATTGTAACATCACCTCCCAAGTAGGGAAAGGAGGTCATGGTTCCAGCTCACCTGCGAGGTTTAGCTCATAGCTAAATTCATTGGTGGCAAACGTGATGATGCCTGACGGGTTCTGTTGGTACTGGAGCTCGATGTCTTGACTGGAAATGGTGCTATTCGCTTGGGAATAATCTGTCCAACTTCTCCCAATATCCCGAAACTGCCATCGTGGCACTGAACCCAAACTGAAGAGAAGAAGAAGTTAAACACAGACATAACATTAGTTTAGAATGGGAGGGGAAATAAGGGGAAAGTCAAAGTCTTACAATCAAATCAAGGGGTTTTCAACCCATTCTCCCCATTTACTTTAATAACACAATCATAATGGTAAATGGACTGCTCTTGTATTGCGCCTTTCTAGTCTTTCCGACCACTCAAAGCACTTTTATACTTCGTCACATTCACCCATTCACACATACATCCACACACTGGTGGCCAAGGCTGCCATACAAGGCGCCACCTGCTCCTCAGTAGGTATTCACATCAATGGAACAGCCATCAGGAGCAATTTGGGGTTCAGTATCTCGCCCAAGGATACTTTGACATGCAGACAGGAGGAGCCAGGGACTGGACCGACGATCTTCCGAGTAGTAGACGATCTGTTAATGGATGACGCTTGCAGAATATTCCGCACAGATTTCGTAATTCAAGGGGAAAGTTATGCACCTCTTAAATTTCACTTAATTTCGTATATAGGGGCTTTTCAAATTAATTTTGGTTCATTCAATTCATTTTATATGTTTGTTATGTTTTCTGGGGTAAATTAAGGATTAATTTGGGGCACTTTAAGGGATTCTTATCTCCTGACCTGCTGTTTTGTTGACTCCCATCGACAGCTGTCCTCCTCACTGCTCTTGTTGTCCCGATACTGTCGTTGACTTGACACATTTCTGTGATAAACCAGAGTACACAGACATGATTTAAACTGCTGTCCTCAACAAAAGCAAAATGGGGGGTGAGGGGTGTTTGTAGTTGTTCTCGTGTTCCTTACTTGAAAAGTCCAGCGTGTACGAGAACTTCTTGGTCCTGAAGTTTATCTGGCCCTGTGGATTCAGCTGATATTGTCTCTCAATGGCAGCGCTGTCGTATGAACAAATCTGCACACAAATACAAACAATAAGTCCACCTTATAGAGGAATGCACATCTAATGTAATTTTAATTTGACCACCAGATAGCACTGCTGACATTATTCACAAGTAAAAAGAGTTTCTATCTGAAAATAAACTGACTATATTGTTTAGTAGGGTTTCTTTATAAGCTTCTGCCTCAGCTACCTGAAATAGCTGCATGCCCTACTTACATGTGCTTTGTATTCTGTCCATCTCCCCTCTTCTCCCATGAACTCCCACTTGTAGCCTCTATCAGAGAGCTGAGAGGAGGAAGCCGCGGGGAACACTGAGGTGGAGGAAAGGCTGCAGAGAAAAACAAGCTTCAATACAGGGGATTGGTTTGTGTTATTGTGTGACTTTGGTGAAACCGAACTAAGACTTTAAAACACCACAGTCACACAATAACACAAAGAAACTGACTAAGGCAGTAGCAGACCAGCAGCTCCTTTGTTCAGTGAGGAAAAATTACTGTTTTTGTCAATGGAGTCTGGCTTGGAAGAGACACTGTTCCCACAGATTTTCATGGACAAAAAACATTTCGATGACTCAAGTACCCATAATAAAAGTTTTTCAAACATATCAGTTTCAAATGCTAATTGAACATATTTTAAGTTACATGAAGGGTATAGGGAGTACTATCAATGAAAACTGTGACTGTGACTCGTTCAAAGAAATCCATGCTGAAGTCCAAATGAAATATGTTATATGATCTCTTGGTCTAAAGAAACGCCATGCCAGTGAATGAACAGGTAAATAATGTGAAATTACACCCACACATTTTGGCTCCTACAGAGGGAGAAAATTAAGATACGTAAGTGATGGTAAACAAAATTTTGCCACTCATCGATGCATATTAGAGCTATGTTATGTCAAAAGGTTCAGAAAATAAATTTACAGCTATGTGACATATGGTTAACCACGTAAGATTACCGTGACAATTTCACTACACACAACAAAATTCCATGACTTTTCCAAAACTTTATTTTTACTAGTTCCATGACTTTTCCAGGCCTGGAAATTCTGACTGTGAAATTCCATGTCTTTTCCCGGTTTTCCCTAACAGTGGGAACCCTTAAAACAGCATGGATACGTTTCACAGTTTGTTGTCACAAGGTTTTTAGCAATAATGCATGTGTTTGGGAAGTACTGAGAATACAACTGGATAAACAAGACTTGGATTTTACTCCTGAGACCCTGTGTCCCCATAGGAGGACATCACATCAGGGTTCCTACACATTTGGAATTTCAAAATTCCATACTTTTCCATACCCTAATTTCCAGACTTCTCAGCGTTTTGTTTTGTTTTTTTTCCCCAGAGAATATGCAACATCTGAGTAAATATATCAGTGTATCATATTTCACATCATATTTAATTATTCTTAATAGGCGATTGTAGCCAAGTACCATAATGGCATGCAAATAAAAACTCAGGTAAGTTCAATGTCTGGGCTGAGGCAAAAAGGTTGGGACTCTGGGTGCAGTAACGAGACGTTGGTGTTTTTTCCTTTCATGTGGCTCAGAATCGCCTTCTCCCCCATGTTGGCGATGTCAAACGATTTCACACAAAGCTTGCATCTAGCTCTGTGTGTGAATTGATTGATTAAATTATTTTTGGAAATACCTAATTTTCTATTTTAGAAAACAGTATTTTAGAACAGTGGTAATAGTCTGGAAACATAAATATTTTTCCATACTTTATTTTTCATTTTCCATACTTTTTAATACCTGGAAATTGATCAAATTTATTTCCATACTTTCCATACTTGCGTAGGAACTCTGTCACATTTCGGGTTTACTTGACCTTATACTTCATTCTACTTAACTTAGGCCTGTTGTCTTTGTTCATGGACACTATGTGCCATCTAATGGTAGTAAGAGCACAATACAATAATCCATGTAAAAACAAGATGGTAGCCATCTCTGCCAAGTCAGTCTGCAGCCGATCTCGACATGAAAGTGGACAAGGTACAAAACCTGATCACATGCTATGGTTGAAACATGATGAGACACCACTCAAGACATAAGGAAGTTATCATCAGCTCGTTAAAGGACGAGAGACTTTATTATCGTCTTGTTTGAGTATGTGGGGACTTTATTATCATTGACAATGTTTAGTTCTTTAAACTTATCAGGCCCCACTGATCCCAAAAAGCTAGAAGAAATTAAAATATGAACAAAACAAATGTTGAGATGTTAGGAGGTTATACTGCACAAGCTGTCTGAGAGTAAACGGATGTTCTGATATAGCTTTACTGTTGTTAAACACGAGCCCCGGTGATTTCAATCCTCAATCATTTTTTCTGTTTATGGATTCTTTGTTCATCGAAGGCATGAGAGAGAGAAGGATAAGTTTTCTTTGCAAATTCAAAGCAACAATTTTGGGGTGAAGTATTCCTTTAAGCTGACAGATCAACAGGCTGAGGCTGGTCTGAATGCAGAAAAGAACCATTTTTAAAACAAAAAATGGATCCTACAGTTGAAATCTCTCACCTCTGTGCACTGGAAGTGAATTTAGGACGCCTGCGTACATTCCTGTTCAGGCCTGTGATGCAGTTTGTTTGGGTCATGGCTGCAGAGTAAAACAACAGTTAGATTTAGCTTTACATTTATCGACTTTAACAAGCTCTCACACACAAAATGATAAAATTCACATACTGGAGAAGTCTAGTGAGTAGGTTGTCGAGCCCACTGTGAAGCTGAAGGTTCCCCGAGGGTTTAGACTGAACTGATGCTCGATATCCTGACTGCTGATCGAGGAGGACAACGTGCTGGAGCTCTGAGGAAGCGGAATTCAGTGTGTTAGAATTAAATAACTGATAATTAAATGAACTCGAGAGTTGACACTGTCCTCACCTGAGATCCATATTCACACCACAGCTGGTCATCTCTGAAGTACCAGCCTACGTCCTCCGTCTGACCCTGAGGTAGGAAGCTCAGTCTCTGCACCTTCAGACCTGGAGTCAGAGTCTCTAACTTATCAAAGTCTATGGACACCTTCCTGTGGAGGCACATGATTCAGTTTGATTTTATACTTCTTTGGCAAGTAACATTTGTTTGAACTGCACCAAAACAAAACTCAGTGTTGTATCGATATGTTGTTTATCCTCTTAATATTGTCATGTCTGTTTCTAACAGTTTTATTCCTGTAATAATTTAAAACTGTTCAAAGTTCATTAAAAAAATCAACTTATTTTCACAATAACTCTCAAAATCCGTTCTTGGTCAAACCTTATATGCCACTTTGCATTCAATTATTTCCGGATTGTAGCTTTCTAAATAAAATCCCTGAACTTTGAGACAAATTTTCTGTGACTGAAAACAAGGCCAATAAAATAAAAATCAAAACACTGACATCTCGTCAAAGTTGATGGTGATTCCTTTAGCTCCCGGTTGGCAGTAGTGCGTTTCGATCACATGGTCATTGGCAATTGGCTTCCACTGGCATCCGTTTGACAGTTGCCACTCATAATGCTTCCCATTAACTGTAAAATAAAAGAATATGTGAGTTAAATATGCATTTATGCATATACGATATAGTGGTGCAGTAATGAGTCCTGAAAGCTGGAAATGAGTTTTGATTCCCTCGTTTCAAAGTCAGTAGGTTTTTAGTTAGATGTCTGAAATAAGGTCTGAGGTTAAAACAAGCTTAGGAGATTTTTACGGTTTGTTCTGCGACATAAAACACATCAGTAAATACCCTACTTGTAAATTTTGAAGCCTTTACATGTCTTTAAAAACAAGTGCGTCAACATGCGACGTTGAAATCATTTGACTTTGGTGTAGTTTGTTTAAAGCCAAACATTAGCTTTTCACGTCTGGCAATTGCATTTATATTTAAAAAAAACATAAAGGTGGTGTTAATTTGTGAACATTATTTTACTTATTTTCTGCAATAATCCAAATTCCAATGCAAAAATCCTATTAGCCTTTTGTCAGTGGAACCAGGACAATGCTAACTTCCGTGGTGGACTACAAATAAACATCATCCCTGCAGCAGCCAGTGGGACACACACCCACGACTCACATGAACTGACACGCAAAGCAGGACTGTTTGCCCCAACGCTGGGCAGAGAAGGTACAAACAGAGATAGCGTGACTTCATTCTCTGCTCAGGACACCATTATTAGATTCTGTCTTTACAGAGCAAATAGTGGTGTGCTGCTTTATTAATGCTCTGAATGTCACACCCAGAACCTTTAATAACAGCGATAGAGGCCTGTTAAAATCAGTCAGGTTAATGTTTGACCGACTGTTTATTTCTTTACTGTCTGAAACAGGTGGAGCTGATTGAGTCAGTCCCAGTGCACTGCTGACCTGGATTTTCCTTTGACCAGTGACCTGGGTTTTGAGCCATGAGTGAGAAACATCACCATTTTCCAATCTTAGAAATATTGCACCAAACAGACACATTAATCCAGTTTTCAATCACATATTAAATTTAAAAAATACACATGTAATAACTCTTTCCTGAGGCCACTTCTTCATCCTTTTTAAGACTTACTCTTCAACTTTATATTTTTGAAGCATTGCCAGCTAAAAGGCTGAAATGCAGACATGTACATGTATAAAGTCAGAATTTAATATTAATAAAAGTACAGAAGAAACTTAAAACATGGATTCACACAGACCTGGACCTGGAGTCTCCTGCCAGCCGCCCATCAGCAATCCACTGTCCTGTAAACACATATAAACACTGTAAACACCATAAAGACACTTTCTGTAGTCCAGAGTGACTCCGTGATGAAGACTCACCGTGTTGTGATGAGGGAAATACATGGTGACAATAACCCCCCTAAAAGCAGATTAAACAAAGGTAAAGGCTACTAAATAAAAACTTTATAAGTTTAAATCCTCTTGACTCGCTTTAACTCAACGATGTGAAGGTTTCATTTCTCAAGAAGCTCGTCTTTCACTTTCGGTTCATGACGTCATCACGCACAGACTGCACTCATGTCAGCAGCTCACGCAATTAAACTTGTGATGATCGACATGAGTATGATTTTCTGTCGTTAAAAAGTTACATAATGATGCTTACAGCTTAGTTACATATCAGACTTGAGGAATTTATATATTTTGTAACTATATATTTAAGAGTCAGTGAATTTATTGAGCTTCCTGTGCTCTGTCTGTACATTATCATTGTTTGTGTTAACTTATTCATTTGTTTACAGGATATTCTTTTTTTAAATACAACCATAAGTGTCTTTTATAACAACTTACAGCATTCTTTCCACAATCAGAATGGTGAAGAGAAAAACTGGGAAAAAAGGGTGAAAAATAAAAACAAATGGTTACAATTTTCTTTTTCCCCCACTTAAATCTTTATGAAAACATTTTTTTGTGACAATGTCATTAGTTACAGCAGCTTAATATCAAACAAACTTGTGAGTCACTTGTGGTCAGTGTTGATTTTGACAGCTATTTTAGATTAAGGGTTCGTTTTGATAAAAAATATTGTATTTTTAGTCGTTTTTTCCTTCATAATTATATTTATTTCATTTTTATTATAATTTTTTCCTTCCTAATTTTATTTATTTCATTTTTATTATTATTTTTTTCCTTCATAATTTTATTTATTTCATTTATTATTATTTTTCCTTCATAATTTTATTTATTTCATTTTTTTAATTATTTTTCCTTCATAATTTTATTTATTTCATTATTATTATTTTTTCTTCATCATTTTATTTATTTCATTTTTATTACAATTATTTTTCCTTCATAATTTTATTTATTTCATTT